AAAACAGCAAGTCACACTGAGTACGAGTACAGCAGCAGAGAACTGGTACGAGACTGGTGCCCGTACCGTACGGGGAGCCGGTATAAGTACCGGTGACACGTACGGTACCAGGGACATTTCTACAAAGGCCCCGAGGGCAGAACTGAAAAATGCAGTATTTGAAAGTGGCGCCCGAATCGCAGCATGGCGCCAGTTGTCCAAAATCCTACGGTACCAAAGGAGGGGTTTGGAAAAAGGGTGCCAGGCCGAAAACGGGATGCAGCCGAAACAGCAATAGCAAAAGATAGACCAGGGATCGAGCCCTGGCGAAGTCCGTAACAGGGTAAGTGCGTAGGTGTCCAGGGACACGGATGACATATGTGGGACCATCCAACTCATCTCCCACTATATCCAGGACTTCCCATGGACCAAAATACTGAGGCATTAATTTACGAGAGATTCCAAATTATTGTCCTAGCTCACTAGCCTTGACCCAGACTCGTTCCCCTACCTGAAATGAGGACTGTCTACGATGTTGATTCTCAGAAGCAATCATTGCTTGCTGAGCTTTCTTCATATGCTCGACAACTTCTTGCAGCAACTTCTCATACTGCACACCATACTCAAGTGTGCCTGGAGTTGCAGCGGGTCGGTTTTCAGGTAGGAGGAAGTCTAGGGCGGATCTAGGCTTCCATCCCAAGTGCAGCTGGTTAGGACTAACGCCGGTACTGCTGTGTACAACATTGTTGTACAGGCTGGCGAGGCAATTGCTCATCCCAGTCATCCTGGCTGGGCTTGATATAATGCCTCAGCAAGTGTTGTACAACTCAACTCATTTGTTCGGCTTGTCCGTTGGCTTCGGGATGATTCCCTGAAGTCATCTGAAGTTGACTGCCCATCTGTTCAGCAGTCTTCTTCCATAGCTCACTTGTGAAGCGGACATCTCTGTTACTAATGATGGTCTTTGGTAAACCAAAGTCACGCACCCAGTTGTCCTTGAACAACTTGATGACATGGTCAGTCCTTGTGGTCTCTGGCATTGCAACTAGTCTAGCGTACTTGGTGAATCGATCGATGATGACGAATATGTGCCTCTTGCCACTCTTGCTGGTCACCAGGGTGTCCATGAAATCCATGGAAACACTCTGTCCTGGACCAGCGGGGATAGGTGAGGGCTTCAACAACCCAAGCGGTGCTTGAGTTCGCGGCTTGTCCCGCTGACAGACCTGACAGGTCTCTACGTACTTCTTTGCGCCATCTAACATTCCAGGCCACCAAAATCGTTGTACTAGATTAGCACTCATCTTCTTGTAGCCAAAGTGCCCGGTTGCGTCATGACATTTTCCTAGAAATAAACTACGCAAATGTTCACTAGATGGAATTACTAATCTTTTTATTTTGGCCTTATCAAGATAGAGAAGCCCGTCCACCATCACAAACTCACTCTCTGTGGCCTTGTCTTTTGCCTGAAGTTTGTGAATGATGTCCATCGTGACAGGGTCTTCCTGATAGGCTCCCACCAACGATTGAGTTACTTCATCAGATACGCCAAAGTCGGAAACTAACGCACCTAGGTAGTCTGCCCTACGTGATAGCGCATCTGCAACCTTATTGTACTCTCCCTTCAGATACTCAAGCTTGAAGTCATATTGATCTATGACCTCAATCCATTGCTTGAGTGCATCAGAAAGAGCCTTGATCCATTTGAGGGTTTGATGATCAGTCCTCAAGTAGAAGAACCTTCCCAATAGGAAGTGTCTCCAATGGACAAGTGCTTTATATAGAGCATAGAGTTCCATTTCGTAGGTGGACTTTGCCAATTTCTTTGATGGCATCTTCTTGCTCATGTACTCAATCGGTCTCAACTTTTTCCCATAATGTTGAGCCAGCACTGCGCCAATGCCGTATTGGCTTGCGTCAGTGGTCACTATGAATGGCTTTTGAGGATCGGGAACCATGAGGACCTCATGATTCATGAGTGCATGCTTCAATCTCTTGAAAGCA